GCATTCGCTCGTCGCTCGACATTGCCGTGCACCGCGCTTTCCCTTATACCGTCAGGTGGAAGTGCCCTGCTTGCTGTTAACGCCTTTCATCTGTTCTCGGTGTATTGCCCTGGTCGCCGTGGACGCCTTGCATATGCTCGTCGCTTACATTGCCCTACACAGCGTGTTCCTTCATGGGGTCCGCTATCTTCCCCCGAACACTGCTTCGCGCTGATAGTACCGTCCGCGTATCGCGGGAATGTCGTGGAAAATTGGAGCGCGCAATTGTTAGTTAGGGAGTCCTCTAAGTAACTACATATGCTGGCCACTTTCTTGAATTCCAATGCGGTCTCGATCGTCAGTAGTAGAGAACGATATGTTCCAAAAAAGGAACTGAAAGATATCAAATATAATCGAAAAAGAAAGGCTGTCAACGAAAACTATGGTGCCCTTCGATTTGGGAGGCGGGCTGAGTACGGTTATCGCAGCTTGCAGCCACAAAACAACCAAAAAAGATTTGCCAAATGCTGGAAACCGAACACGGGAAATCGGGGAGATTTCCGCCACCCGGTCACAGAAATATGGCCGAGATAGGGTGTATTAAGGACTTCATAACATCCTTGGCCGACGTACACCCCCTAGGCGGTCGAGTTCTCACGGTGTTGCAGAAGCTGTGGACGTTCCACCATTCGTACCTGTACACACACGTTGCACGCAAGCATTACCATAACTAATAACAACATTTGGAGGTCTCGCCACAATACACATCTAAATATAAAATTTGCTCGCGTTTCAGACGAAAAGACTACACTCAACAACAAATGAATTCGATGAAAGCCGATGATTTGGTGGAATTGCTATTGGAAACAACTGTTCTCGAGGAACAAGCTTCGATAGTGCATTGCTTATGGATGAATCAGTGAGCTTTTCGAAAACAGTGTCATGTCTTCCTATTCGGTTTTCTTGAAACCTGGAAGTGTTGAAATAATGTTTTAAACTGCTTGGCTGCACAGTTTGTTATAATGTAATGGAACCGCTTTTTAGTCGTTGTTCTGAACAAATCGTCAACGTCAAGGACCTTGAGGCAGATTAATGTTCCTGATCTGCGGCTTTCCTTTTGTCCTAGTATTTGGAGACGATGATTTGTTTGAAAGATCGACCAAATGAAGTGGTTTCATCATAGTAAACTTGGAAGACCTGTAATGTAATGCTTCGCTTGAAAAGAATAGTCAATGTCTGGTTGGCTTGCCGTTCAAGAGAGAGGAAGCCATCACAAGTCGACCAACGAGGAACTTAACGTAATCATGCATAGACCACAAACAAGAATCTTTAAAAAAATTTCAGGGGGCCGGACTATGAATTTGAACTTAACGAACAATATGTGACGATCAAAATGCTAATGGAAGAGGTCTACACCAAGGTCAGTTTTACGATACTTTTGCTCTTCTTCCGCCTTATTGTTACTTTTTCTTTCTATTTCTTCTCTGTTCTTTTCGATTTGTTCGTGAAGATAAACTTTAGTTAACAACAAGTACATTTGCAGTCGTGTGAATGTCGTCTTTGGGCATTGGTTCGTTTGACAGCAGGACTTTTGGGCAAACGTCTTGAGGAATTGGGAAAAGCCGTTACGCACCTCCTCGTTCGTCAGAAGCAGATAACTGTTCGTTATATTTTATTCGTCTTTAATTTCAAATATTGCGGCCGCGAGTTCGCGTACTGCCTTGCGCAGTATCGTGAAGTGGTAGGGTATACTCAAGGTATTGCCTGCTTTCCATCTCCATGTGAATGGAAAATGCTCTGCAGGGTGATGATATAAATATTAGCATACCTCCATTTTTGGCCGAAGTTTTTCCGGCCACCGTGGCTTTTAGTGTTGTTCTTGTTCTTCTTATTTATTTGACACTAACAACGTGCTTGTTAGAGATAAAATTTCAATGTCAGGTTGGCTTGCCGTCCAAGAAAGAGGAAGCCATCACAAGTCCAAAAACCAACGAGGAACTTAAGGAAATCATGCATAGAGCCTATTCTGATGATCCAAATGCTTTCACCCTTAGCCAGGTAACCAATCAATTAGATCATGCTGATGTTCAACGAACATTTTTTGTTAAGGAAATAATAGTTGCCCTTGGTTCTCTAGTCAGGACGGAGCCGAAGTTGTTTGTTGAAATGTTCAGGTTGCGAATTGGACTCATTATACAGGTGACATCATTTCCTCGAAGAGATGACCGGTCTCTTCAATGCCTTCATTTTTCAAGGTTCTCGCTTCGGAGCTAGCTCGGATCAGAAAGCTTTCTGCAGCTGACGCTGCTGAGAACTTGATGACTATAAGCCCGTTCGAACTCAAGTCTATGCTATTCTCGTTACTTAGTGGAAGACTTCTAGAAGAGTGAGTGTACTATTGTTTAAGAAGCTTCAGGGAACGATTCTGAAGTAGGATAGAAATCAGTCTTCGTCTCGAAAATGTGTTTTCGAAAATTGACCTATTCAGAAGAATACTTTTAGCAGGAATTGCTACCAAAAATAAAGGGGAGGGTAGTTATCGAAAGGGCTTGTGAAACGATTAATGAAAGTAACAGTCCAGAGTAGTGCCAAGGTAACGAAGAACAAGCGAAGAACGGCGCATGCAAAGGGTCATAGGGGCTTACCGTTGAAAATGCAATGGAAACTTGATAGAAACTCTTATGGATTACGAGCTCATGGGGTTGCAAGACAGTTCGAAGCTCCGAGTTCAATTAGCAGAGTTTGTGGAGATGCCGTACAATTGCTCTAGTAAAATGAAATTCGCGGATGGATCCTTCAAAAAGAAAAAAATGGCAACATCGAAAAGTGGGAATTATTCAAAGATGATAGACATGCTGTGTCTGATGTATATTTATCTCATGGTTTGAGCCGTGCTAAAAACATCGCTCACTCAAAACAACATCAGAACAGTGAATATTGCTCAAAGGAACCACCTAACATCGTGAAAGATTCATAAATACGTAGCAACAAGCGCCTATTTTGCTGTGGAAGTAGTTGAATTTTTCACGAAATGCTCTTTTCTTGATTCATTTTTTCAACGATTAGCTTCACGACTGGGAGGTTTGTGGACCATTGAGGGTTACGTTCAGGTTCGTCGATGATTGCGATGCTGCGAAAGAAACTCGCACTGGAATCGGGAGCTTCAGGCGACACATTGAAGAGAGGAAGGTATAGGTTTGAATTTGAAGGGCTCTCATTCATACAAAATTTCAGAATTTTTAGTCATTGCGCAAATCGACAAGAAGCATTCCTGAGCGTACTATAGAAGAAGTTGAAGAGGAAGAAGATGAAGAGCTCGCTGAAGATGACTTCCAGTTCGGCATCTGGCTAAGGCATCGTCGTATCGATGGTGCACTCAACAGAGTGCCGAACAATTTTTACGCGGTAATAATTAGTTTCACTTTGTCTTTGAGTAATTTGAGTAATTCCGGTGAGATAAATAAGATTGATAGTAGAGATTACCGTCGAGGATACGGCATAAGGTGTAGTGTTTGAAAATCGTACAATACAAATACTGGAAATCCAGAGAAATTTGCTTTTTCTCCCAGTGGTCGTCTTCCATAGGAGTGGGCCGTGTCACATGCAATCTTCGGTTGAACATTGAATTTGTTTCCAACTCAAAACCCGGAACTGTTGGAGAAATCTAGTTGTTCTTCAAGCGTGACAGTATTCTAGCTCAAAGATAAGCTGAAGACTGGTTGCATGTGATCTATTTATATCATAGCCTCCAATGACGGTCGAACTACTGGCAAATAGTCATTGGTACAGGCTACGGTAATGTAGAAGTGGAAGAAATTTTGGCGCTTTCTTTTTTCACTAACAATCGTTGGAGTGAATTCGTTGTTTGTTCAGCCCTTGGTCCGATGTAGTAATTTTAGGAGAGGGACTGGCGAAGTTTGATTGCTGTTTGCTTAACATTTCAAATAGGTTTTGATGTTTCCATGTTCTAGACATTGTGGGATACGGTGAATCGACTTCCGCATGGTGTTCGCATCAACGACACTATCCTGCACTGGGGTTTGACGCAGGAGATGACTCGACGGGAGATGAAGTTTGCACTTGAGGTAGAACAAGTGCTGAATCGAATAGCAGAGCCGGAGTATAGAGAAATGGTAAGTCAACATTCGAATTCTAGCTTTTTGTCTGCCTATTCGGAACCACCGTGTTTTTGGAACTCACGTTGGCCGCAGTAGCCACAGTTCATGCTTCTTAGTAGGCTTAATAAAATTCACATAAAAATCTTCGAAGAGCTTGTTCGAACTGTGTCCAATACTGTAAACTTTTTGCTTGTAATTTTTTATAGTCAGTGGAACTTTTTCTGAAGGCTTGGCAATTTTATGAAACATCTAATCTCATAGTTTTGGCCTGGACTCTTAAATAGGTAGCTGTTGCTCAGAGGTTGTAAGATATAAGTTGGGAGAGGTGGGAGATAGATATACACAACAACTTGTATTTGGAGTCCTATCCGTTTGCTATTTTCCACTGTTGCCGGTGCTTTGCTCCAGCCACAAGCGTAGGTGAAGACCATTAAAAACGGTTTATCGCGAGCTTTGATGTTTCAGTTCCACTTACATCTGTTGCCCATTAGCATTTGTCTGTGTTATCACTACCAGTCCGTTCGCCCGGCTCTCCACCTTTGTGCGAAACATGCGGGAAGTCCTGTGCTCTCATACAATTTTTCTCTGTTTCTTTTCCACCAGAAAAATAATGAGTAGCTGCTATCTTTCAGTAGGAACAGATCTTGATCGCTGTCGGACATTAAGACCAGTGGCTCCTTGAAGCCATACTCATATTAGCCCTTCTCCTCTTTTAGAGTTCAAACAATCCACTCTGATGTCAGCTAGGCTGTGAGTATCGGTCAGTTACACAACAAATCAGTATCGGACAAATAATCGATATTGATTGATCGACTTTGACCGCATCAGCGTAATCACTGCTACACTGACTACACTTACTCAGAACTTGAACGCTCTACCGTTAAACTAAGCGAAGCGTGATAACATTCGTGTCTGGAACGCTTCGAAAAGTACTGTTGATTTCGGGTCGAACCGTAGTCTAACTGTAAATTTCCGTTCCAAACAGCCTACTTTGGTAGCCACCCCACCTTTTTCGACAGTTTGACCTTCAACTTTTTAGCAGTTTTCACATCGTTTCCGGGCTAATTAAATACGTATGTTAAAACTGCTACTTTGCTAGTCTTTGATAATTTCCCTGGATCTGGCATCTTCTGGAGAAATTTTTTTGGTCGCTATTGAACTTGTTGGGTTTCTTGGACATGCCTTTGATTTCTCACCGTGTGCAGCTCGAACACATTTCCTTAGCCATAATTTCATAGCGCGTTTTTAAGGTTGTTGAAGTCTTGTGGCTGTTGGGGAGACTGGATCGTTTGGTGCAGAGCGACCAGCCGAATATTCCACGAGATCGCCCTCTAGACATTGATGTTCTGCTCAGAAAAGCTAACGAATTGTTTGTGAAGCACAACGTGAGTTTTTTTTTTTACACTTCTTCATCAGGTGTTAATCTTTCTGAGGAATGCTGAGATCCCAGTATTTTCTGCATCTTTATGCGATTCAACTACATGTCACAAAGCCCAGGAAAGTAAAACACTCGTATCCTTTACTAGTTCATCCAAAAGTTATCTAGTGTTGTTCCTTTTTTTTTGGAGGGTTACGTTCGCTGTTTTGACACCATCGTTTTGAATTTCCCTACATACGCCTGACTTGACGATAAATAGAATTGTGGGACAGCAACGAAAAAAATGGAAGATGAATCAGATGAGTAAAACGAAAAATTACAAGGAATGAAAGAGTTCGTTGGATCGCTTGCTACTGACCAGCGAAAATTTTTAACATGAAGTGCCAAAGATAATCGGAGAGTAGCCTACCTGATGCAGAGCAGATGAGTGAACCGAAACTCTAGAAGTTCAAACAGATAGATGTCAAAGTCAGAGTTATCCTTCAGAAAAGACCATTCAGACAACGGCAACGGTGACATTCTTTGAGGCAGATACCTAACCAGACCAGCAGTGTTTCATCTAATCAATGTATTAGCTGTTGCCTCCGTGTAGAAAACGGAGCAACAGTGTTTCTAACGAAATCCCCACTGCTAGCGAAGGTGGATTCGAGGCAGTTACAATAATCCTCCACTGAAAATTGAAATCTTCCCCTTCAAAGCACGCGACTGCATGTGATGAGATGCAGCGAGAGCGGGATGCCGTTTCGATAGTGAACTGACAGTCCCGTCACCTTTGCTAGGGTGTCTGTGTCGCCTCTTTATTTTCTCTTGAATTTGACACTTTATTGACTCTCTCATGGAATGATCCTGTGGCCGTGATAGTACGCGCCCGTATTATCGTAGACCCCGCTCTTCTTCTGGACTGCTGCTGTTTGCGCGATTGTTCTGACATCTCCGTCCCTACTCTTTCAAGTGGTGTCCAACCGCAAGCCCCGCACTTCCTTGAATTTTGCTTTCATTTTAGACATGCCATCATGTTGATTCATGCCATTCTTCATTCCTCCAATAGTATTCGGGGATTTTGTATATGAGCAACACCACTCGTGATAAAAAAGCGATCATGCCCCGTGTAGCCTCTTTGAACTAACTCAGCATAGTCAACAGACTCAACCAGAAGTTAGACACTGTACAATAAACCAGTCTGTCATGTTTTCCTTTCTATAGTAAATCAGGTGGTCGTATACCATGTGGTGCTAGCCCTGCCGTAGTATGTACTACATGGACTGTCTCGGTCCAGATTTGCCGTTCCACTAAAAAATGAGTATTTTCAGCGCGAAATGGGCACTATTGTACTTGAATGCTGTGCATCCGGGAAAAGGTGCGACGGAGCCCGTGGCCTTTGTCGTCATCTTTACGACTCCGCTCCGGCTGGAGAATTCGGCACAAGCCACTATATTATCAAAGCGATGATGATTTTGTTCACGTAATAACTAGGAGTTAACCCTTTGGTGAATTGTCGCAACTTTTTAGGCAGTGTGCTTTGTCGATCCTCGTACATAGGTCAGTAGTTTGAGTGCTTTGGAGGATTCCTCCATCAATATTCCTCAAGCTTCTAGTAAGATGACAGTGTGCGATGTGCGTAGGTCAGTTTGCAGAACTCGCCATGACTTCTCGATCTTATTCTGTGTGCCATAAAATGACGGTTAGAGCATTTGTAGAGTAGTACGGGTAGCCAATGCTGCTAGTGTAGTGCTGGTAGCCATGTGCGTTGTGGTCAGGCGCAGATTTACTAGTCTTTTATTACGGCTGAACTGTTGTTGATGTTTGGAGGTGTACATGACATGTTGGATGAAGCCGCGAAATAGTTGCTTGTTTACTGTACTCAACCTTATTTGCTGTGAGATAACTCATTCTCTAGACTTCATAGGCTGATTTTAACCTTCTAGTTACCTCCTTTGACGGTGCATTAGGATTTCGGCTGCTGTTTTTCTAATGCGGCATTAGTTTGTTGTTTATTATCTAGTCTCTACCTAATCTTCAGCCTTTGATTCGATCGAGCTCACACTTTTTACGCTGTTTTTCTCCGGGAGGTTAGTTCAGAGGCCACCATTGAGAGAAAGTTCCAAATAGTGCGAATGTTTGGGTTGTTACGATCTCCCACTGGTGGCGAAATTTCAGAAAGGTAATGGTAAAACCTAAAGTAAAAGCAGAAAGAAAGAAAAGATCTGCTAGACACAGGTCCCTTCCCCCCACCCCACCTCCTAGAACATCTGGTCAGCGAAAGCATGGATGCGGATTTTCGCCTTGTGTCGACGTGCCATTTTCTGGAAGTATTGCTTCTAGTACCGTGCCGAGGCCCGTTTCGGTCGCCATTATGGGCAGGATAGGTGGGGCTTATTGTCGTTAGAGTGTGTATTCCTGTTCTGTTTGGAAGTCGAAATTGCCGGGTTAGCGAATGTCGGTACGACAGTCTCAAGAAGAAATACAGTAAACAGTCGAAACCTGAAATCATAGTCACTGCGAAATTAGGGTAGTGTTTTTGTAGAAGGTGCTTGGGTGCAGTATTGAAGAGCATTCAGTCAGTTCTGGGTGTCATATTCGAATATTCAACCAATATCGACACCACTAGAAGGTGCTAGCGTTTCCTGCCACCAACTGTGTCATTGGCTGTGGTTGCTTGAGCCACTTCATTGTGGGCATGCGAATCCTTTGTTGTTTTCTTACCATCGTAAATGTCTTGTGTCTTGTGTGTCACTCCGAGATTTTGATGCCTTTTGCATGTTTTGACTTTCATCAATTTTTCAATTGTCAGATGAAGATTAGCTGTGCCGTATAAACCCATTTGAATTGTTCGTTTTTTTTTTGAATGAAAATTGATGAATCTTCATATTTTGAGCGTAAACCGTTAAGGGCACAGCTCACGATATAAGTGTTAGGTAAGATTCCCCCTTGTATAAGCCTTTAATCACCAAGGGCGTATAAGGAACTTCTGAATAAACTCAACCGGCGAGCCCAATAAAGGCAGACGAGTTCTTAGCGTAGGCTGTAGAGATACCATCATTCGCGCTAGGACGCACACGTTGCACTAGGCAGCTAACTGTAGCTGGCTACACGCAATGGTACACACATTTGGACAGCTCGTCCACACATCCTTTCCATACGACCTTTGTCCAACTCCAATTGACATTCCCCAGTTACTTTCCAAACGACCCCTTAGCAAGCAAACCTTCCTTGCTCATCTTCAATAGGATCTTGTCTATTGAACTGTCCTCGTTTCTTTGCGGTTGCCAACCAGATTAACTTTTTCGCCACGGTTTCAAGGATTTTACTTGCGTTTACCTTTGCATTCCCTCGAAAATTAAATAATTTTGGCGTTATTTGTGGAAACCAAGAAAGTGTCTTTCATTTGCTCCGGCTTTATTGATCACTCAATAGGACTTTAGCTCAAGGAAATCCCATCAGAGTCCGCAACGCAGGGCCTCCATAATTGGTTTCAGATTTCGCAAACACATGAGGATCAGGGGTGTACACTTCGCACTTGCGTCGAGCTTGTTATCAAGTCTCGTCAGAAAGTTTTCGGTTTACTCGTCAAGCCAATATTTTCTTAATGATTCGAGATTATTTGCTGCTGTTAGTCGAAATAGATTGCCTCGAATATAATCAACGAACCGATTTTCAGAAAGGTTTTCTATTTTTGGTGTTAATAGCAGAACTTTAAAGGTCTTTGACATATAACATATAAAAACACTAGGCCAATTGAGGTCTCGCATCGATACCAAGTGTAATACTCCCCTTTCTTTCTACTCTAGGAGAAGATCACGAAGCAGAAGCGGTCTGGTCAACCCCCTATTATGAGACTGACGAGATACCTTTGTGTCGTTGGTTGGAGAAATCTGAATAACAATAGATTTTGACTATCCTACTGGGAGAAGTAAGATCTTCAAATGGTGCCATGTCGCGATCGATCAGGAAATAAACAAGTGGTAGTTCTTCAAATAACATATTTAGTAGTCATCGAAGATTGAGCTCGTGATCCAAGTGTTCAAACAGTTCATATCAGCGTGATGGCGCTTCTTGCTTGCAGGATTACTTTACTTCGTCGTAACGGATCAAATATTGTCGGTGGAAATTAATTTCCAACCAGTTGAAGACCCAAGAGACGAAGTAGTCGGAAAAATCGCCAATCTACCTAATTGAAGGCCGTTCGTTAAATAGTTCATTTCGTTTCAATTTGAATGCTTCTTGAACTCAGCCAGTATTGGTCTGGGCATTAGCCCTTCCCTGACGTCCAGTACCATTTAACTGAATCCAGGCTGAAAATGGCTTGCTAATCCGAACGGCCCTTAACCCATGCCATAGATCACCAGCATTGACCGTCACAGTGCTAGACTCTTTGTAGTTTGTCTCTCTTTTCACCATATTTTTTTACTCCTTTTTTCATCAAGCCAAGATTGATCTTATGTACATATGTCGCCAGTAGTAGGTAATGCACAACCCTTCCCAAGATATCCTAGAGGATTATTTGATTGGATGTGGACGTACTACAAGGTAATCTGGTTTCTATGGAGGATTTCGTGCAAAAAGGAGGAGAGATTACTGAGTAGTCGGTGAGGCGAATGAAAGGGCAGGAATGTTTCTTAATGGACACTATTTTCTTCTTGCATGAGTTGGTAAGTAAAAAAGTCCGAGAATGGCATTGGCCAACGCTGCAGCGACGACTTCAAGCCGGCAGTCGTAGATTACAGTTCACCATTGACTTCTAGCGCAGTCACTATTTGGAATAAGGCCAAAAACCTTCAGAGCCGAACTTAATTGGATTGAGACGAAGCCTTTGCAGTTGTCCTGCGATCTGCTCGTGTCGATCGCTCCTGTATTCGCATAATTTCTTCGGCCGTTCCATTAGTTTCCAGCCGGCCTTGTATCAACAACATATCAGTCTCACCTCCTGCTTGAGCTTATTATTTTTACTGCATGCATACATTCGTATCCGATTACTAAACCTGCTCACAACAGCTAATAATTGTCTGCATTGATTCAAGCGTTGCCATATACAACATGAACAGCGTCGTGGGGTTTTCTTTTCATGAAGCCTTTCAACTTTCTCCCAGTATTTTCCATTTAGCATCAACTCTCCCTCTTCTGTTTTCTTCTTCTTCGAAGTTAATTCGGGAAATGTTACAGAAGTGTTAATTCCAGTGTTTCACATAATGCACATGTAATCAAGCTATTAATAGGATTGCGAAAAACATCGTTCTTTGCTTGTAGGTTACCTCTCTTCATACCTTCTAATTTCTTAACCGAACGTCCAACATTGTGTGTAGGATATGGCTTGGAAGTGCAGACGTAGTTCCTTGTGCTGATTGGAGTTTGTATACGTAGAACATCAGAAACGCTTACATCGACAAAAAGCTTGAGGCGATTCCGCATAACGAGCTCCCAAATAATTATTTCCAGTCCAAAACATATCGTGTAGCATATGGAGCAACAGCTTAACATTGTTGTGGCCAAATGAATTGGTGAGGGAGAAGTGTGACTTATAAATTAAAGTAGATTGGTTCTTTGTTTCACACACACTCTAATCTTGAAGACTTTGCTAACCAGCGTTTCTATGCCTGAAAAACCCTCTACCTCAGAAAATAGCGGTTGTTTCCGTATTTCCTAGGCTTTTTGTATCTGTGGCTATTAGAAAACGTTTGGGAAAGTCATTCCTGCGGAAAAGAGGTGTAGCAACTTCTTTGTGGTCGTGTATATTGTCAAGACTGCCCAATGGAAACCTTACAAACCTTCATTCCACTGGAAATCGTAATCCTTGAAAATATGTAAAAGCTGTGGCAATTCGTCCCATCGAAAGCTGATAGCAGACTGCTTTTGTTCCGAGATACAAAAAGTCTATTTCGTACCTTCGGAGTTTTCAAATGTTCGATGTACATCTGAGAATTGTATCCAATGACTTCAGGTTTTGTCTCAGAACCACAACATTTTATGAATAGGCAGAATGGGAAACTTTGCTTCGTCATCTACCTCAAGTGTACATACCTTCCGAAATTTGTGTGATCTCCTAAGAATTCGTCCGCCTTGGTCATGCACGTCGACTAAGTCGGTTCTAGGCTCTGTTCGCTTTTTCCCGGTCTCTGATTTCCTTATTTGGTTAGGCGTTGGGCATTTCTTACCTTGATAGGTTAGTGCCATGCAAGCGAGGAGTCTAGCTTAATCATGTCCAGTTTGAATGCTTTAAAGGCAGGTTTATACATATGTAGGATGAATATCGAGAAGAAAAGCTTACGTTTATGCTGAGACATTATCACCGGTCATTTATCTGTAGCATTGTCTCTGGAAATTGTTATCTGAAAGGATCGGGTTGATGAATCAACACTGAAAACTTCTCAAGCATAAGCAGATTGGGACGCAGGACAGAATGTTCCTGTGCCTAAAGGAATCGACTGGTGGATCAGTTATTCCTGAAGATGTTACTCCCGATCTCTGTCAG